TGGTTATTTCAACCCCTTTCGAGGGGTTAAAATTTTCGAAAAATAGTTGAAAACTCGCATCTGTATTAGTAAACAACCTGTAAAAAATTTGTTATTTGTACCTCGTTCGGTTTTCAAATTACAGCCAATTTTCATAATTTTTTTGGAAACTTTGATGGCCCATATCTCTTCAGGAGTGAACATATTACTAAGGCGATTTTTTGCAGATCGTGTTCTTTTGAAATGTAGATTCACTGGTATCATTTATGCTACTCCATTCAAAAACACCCTGTATAATAGTTATTTACACCATAAAGCAGGTAAGTAAGTATTATTTACCAGTCGAGGACGACTTTGCGCTCGAGCAGAGCGAGGGCTGGCAATAGAGTCCGAGACTGGTAATTTATACTTAACTGCTGCGTGGTGTATGACATTTTATCTGCTCCCACAGTTCTTTATGGTTCATGATATAAAGATTAGGTTTTATTTTTTGACATTTTAATTCATTTTCACATTATTCGGAATCTTGCAAAGTCGCCTTGGTTGTTTGGATTTTGTTGTTTCTAAGGTGTTTATAAAGAAAGCTACATAAAAGTTGAAATTTCGCTGGTTTTGAATTATTATTTCTAAATGAGTGACTTTCAAATAGAAAGTGCTGCAAATGCTGCCTGAAATTTTTATTGCCCGAGAAGTCGAAAGTGCGCTACGGACGAGCATATAGAAATTTCAATGGTGCCAGAACAAAAATACTGGTGTTTCCGAAATGTCATTGCTAGCATATCTCATGGAGAAGTCAAGAACTTTAAAGTCACTATTTTCATAGAGAAGAACGTGATATATCAAAATACCCCAAGCCGAGAGCATTTTCGAAACGTAAGAATGACGGCTATACACTTAAAAAGTCAAACGTTTTTACAAGAGAACAAGTCAACGATTTTGTCATTCAGGCATCCGATAAATCATACCTATTTGCTAATGGAGGTAGTGACAGGTCTTAGGCATTGCAGGAGCATGCCGTTCTGATGAGTTATGCACTTACTTTGGACAACGTCAATTTAAAAAAATTCGATGACATTATTGTAGTTACAATTCCAGATTCTAAAAATGGTATGTCACGTAAGTTTACAATTACTTCTCGTCTGGATTCTGTTTCTCACCTACAAATTTTCAAGAAATATATCAAGATTAGATTGGAAATTAATACTGAAATTTCACGCTTTTTTATGCACTATCAAGCAGGTAGATGTTACAACGAACCAGTCGGCAGGAATACAGCAGAATTGGACAGTTTTTGAAACTAGAACATCCTGAAACATATACAGGTCATTCATTCCGAAGAACATCGTTACTGGCTAAAACAGGAGTTGATGTATTAGCAATCAAAAGACATGGTGGATGAAAATAAGCCACAATTACAAAAAGTTATGTTGCTGACAGTTTAAGTAACAAAAATTAAATCGCCAACAGAATTCTTTATAGTGACACTTCAACTCCAGGTTCTAGTAGTACGTCGCATCATGCTGTTTTAATAGATCAGTCAGATAATATTGATCGGTGCCCGAAATGGACCGGTCAAATCATTTTGAGAAAAAGTGACAATTAGTAAAATGAATGGTACTAAATGTAATAACTGTACAATTACTATAAATATTCATTCATAATAATTAATAAAATGTAATGTTCGTCAAATATTTCTATTTATTTGTTCATAAAATATGCATTTATAATTCGAAATCGCTTTTCTCCCTAGCAACTTCCAATTCTATGGTAAAATCCACTAAAAAATCCTTAAAAACAATTATTAATAGTCTATTTACTATAGTGGGAGCAGATAAAAATAGTTTAGTCCATTAAGTTTATAGTCCATCAAGTTACCTTTGAAACTTTCTAGTTTCATAACAACGCCGCCGTGTTCTTTTGTCTAATAGTGATTATTTTGACGGCACATGTTAAAAATACATTTAGTGTGAATAATTGGGCTTTTTTTCGCGAGTGAAGTCGTATGTTGTAGTATGTGTAGTATGAGTGAAAGAAGAGATTTAAACTACCATATGACAATTAAGATCAAAAGAGATAGAAATAGTAACTACATATCAGATATTCACCAATATTCAGTCGCGAAAAAAAGCCTATTTTCTCGCAAATATGGCACGTTTAAGTGAAACCGAGCGTATTGAAGTTTTAATGATCATAGAATATGGTGATAGAAGACGAAGTTGTGACGAAGTAGTGGATATTTTTCATGAATTATGCAATTCATGAAAAATATCGAGAACATATTTCGAAATCAACCGTTTCAAAAACAATACAGCGTTTTCATAAAACTAAAGGTGTTACCGATCGACGAAAAATTGGAACACCAGTAAGCATTACAGATGAAGAAAATTCTGTGAATGTCATGTGTGGTGGAAAATGCAATAAATTCCACACAATAGAGGTTTTAAATCATAACAGGAGTGTCGATATTCCATTAAAAAAATTTGCAAACGGGAAAAATTACATCCATATAAAATTAATTTGTTACAAGAATTGAGTGAAGACGATTATACTCGTATGATCGTAGAATCGATTTCTGCGATGTTATTATGAATAAATTAAAAGAAAATGTCAACTTTGTCACCCACATATTGTTTTCTGATGAATATATATTTTGTTTAAACGGGTACATAAACCGACACTGTTTACATTCACTACAAAATTTTGTTCAGCGAATTCATTACTATCAGGAGGTAAATGGTGAACATTTTGAACACCTTATAAAATAGAATTCCAAAGATAATATTTGTTGTTTATTATTCTGGCAGGACTATTGTTTTCATAAAATTTAAAATATCCAGAGCATTCATTAAAAAAATATTTTTTTTCGTTTCATACATTTTTATCAGCCCTAAACTTTTGTGCTTTTTCATTTTCTGTAAAAAAAAACTAATAATAAAATTCATCATATCCATATCCTCCACCTTGTGTTATTTTCAAAATAAATATCCATAATTTAGAGCCTTTTTTCTTTTATAAATTTGAGAGTAGTAAAAAGTTACTTTCAAAGTTCGATATCTCGAAAACGGTTAAGTTTAGGTACATGATGTGCTATATGAATTTTGTTTAGAATTTCGAGAATAATTGAAATATGGAATAATATACAGAGTGTCCCATTAAAGAAAAAGCAACTTTGTTTCGTCGTGACTTTTTGACTGATCCTGTATACTTAATTTTTCTTCATTATAATAGATTTTTTAAAACCCTAAAACGTTTCTGTCTTATGATTTTTCGATAGCTATCTTGCTTTAGGAGATAATCCACCGTTTGCATACATATCAGCCCTGCATATAAAATGACAATAAATATAAATATATTTCAAGTAAAACGTCGATTATAATAAACTACAGACAAATGTGCAATATTTCAATATTTTTATTTTCTCCTTGTAATATTTTTAGTATCCTATTCATTTACTGGATTATGATTCTATAAAATTGTAAAATATACTTTGAAAACTTAAGTTTTCCCGCAATTCTGAGAAAAGGGTGCCAATGGTAAAAATATATTGTTACAAATATACTAGCACAATTATTTGTACCGAATCTCATTAAAAAATTGTTTAACCAAATAGAAAATACATTGCCTAAGCAAAAGTTTTTATATCAGCCTAACATAAGTAAATACCAAAAATCCTGTTTTCTGCAATTACTGATAAAATTTACATATTAACGTATATTTTTTTGTATAATAATTGCATACTCGTGCATGCCTAACGAGCAGATATTAAAAGAATGAGTAAACTAATAATTTTGAGATTAAAACATAAGACAAGTAATACATACACATTCAATTTTATGAATTAACGGTATGAGCATTTTAAAAGTAAACCTACCTTTTATATATGGAAGGTGAAAAGTTCAAACACGTAAAAGTGCAATAATATTTACTATCGAGGGTTCACCCGGTTCAGAGTACGCCGCTTACAGATACCTGCGCACAGATCTGCTGAAAACTACTTACTGATCGAGATTTAGCCATCGGCAAAACAGCCGGGCGAAATTTTGTGAATCGACGCTGGGTCTCTCGCGCAGATCCTTTCATAGCACGTCACTGTAACTTGTAGTAAGATTTCAGTTTCGGCGCTTTTATTCATCACCTCCGGGAACTTTCAGTGACCGCACTGGGTACACCAAAATGGGTTTTAAATGTTCGAACGAATTCTTCAGTACGGTATATCTGGTGAAGATAATACCGTTCTTTTAAAAAATAAAATTGCTATATTGCTAAAATATTTTTTTTCGCATTATGACTAATAATATGCTATTTTACTAAATTCAAAATGTCACTTTACTATACAGGGTGTTTCAGGATTACGTCGACAAACTTTAAGGAAATATTCCTCATAAAGAAATAAGAAAAAAATCAAGTATAATTTTTTTCCAGAAACGCTTCATTTTCCAAATATAGGGCATTAACTTCTAAATGAAGAAGGCTATTTAAGCCAAATTTGGCATGGCTCATCTTCTTATAAGATACCATTTTTCCATAGAAGTAGAAGTCCCGCAAGCAACCAGTGGCGGAGTTATGGGGACTCAGACTCATTAAATTATAAAAAAAATAATACGGCCCTAGTGAAAATAAAAAATGATGCTGTTTTTAGATAGAACAGTTTGTTATCGACAAAAAGTGTACATTCACTTTTTTCCTAACTCTTTATAGTTTCATGGCAAAATTGATTTTTCGCAAGGGTGCTTCTGGATTCTGTCGATAAACTTTAGGAAGACGTTCCTCATAAAACCTAAAAAAATATAGTGCCTATTAAAATTGGTCTTAGTCTCGAGTATGTTTGAGTCAAATAAGCATTTTTGTCTCCCCTTCCTTTGGGTTTAATAAATAGTATTAAAATTATTTAGGAGATGCTTCGTTTTTGAGATATAGTGTGTTTTTTTTAGAAAACAAAAATGATGATGAAAACGATATAAATATTTAAGTACCTAACATCTAATGTGACTATGTCGTAATGCGACAACGTAACGACCCTTGCAAAAATTCCTAAAATTTTTCACGCGATTTGTAGTCACTTCATTTACTTGTGTTGTGTACTTTTAAATAAAATAAGATGGCAAACAATACATGAAAATTTATTTGTAAATTGAAACAACCAAAAAATAACGAAAACAAAACGACAACTGAATCAAAAATGAAATGATTTAAAAAATGTTTTGTTCAAAATGGGCGCCTCCGGACTGTAGACAAGCACGACATCTTTTAATTATGGAGGTAGTGGCCGATCGACACTGAATTGGAATTAATTCCCGACACTCTTGGACTATTCGTTGTTTTAGTTCCTCTAGGGTATCACTGGCACCTCGTAGACTTTTCGTTTAACAGCACCCCAAACGAAATAATCCATCGGTGTCAAGTCCGGTGAACGTGCGGGCCACGCTACAGATCTTCCACGACCAATCCATCTCCTGAGATAATTAATGTTTAACCACTCCCTAGGACCTCACCCAAAATGGGCAGGACAACCATCTAGTTGAAACCAACTATTCATTCAACTATTAAGCGGAACATCTTCTAACAGATCTTGAAAACCATTTTCAAGGAACTTTCAAGGATGCGGAAGGAAGTAGGGACCAACTATAGTGTTGTCCAACACACCCAACCATACGTTACATTGGAATTCATGCTGAAAACTATGTTCCCTTACCGCCCGTGCATTCTTGTAGGACCAAATATGGTTGTTCCTTTGGTTTAAAATTCCCCTTCGAGTAAATGTTGCCTTTTCTGTCCACATTACTTTTTGCGTAAACTGATCATCATTCTCTGCTTGGTTTAACATCCAGTCACAAAACACGCGCCTGCATCGTATGTCCTGAGGCAATAAATGTTGAACACGCTGGATATGGTACGTATGACGTCCATCAGCCCGAAAAGCTCATAGCTCATCGAAATGGTTTAAAATAGTATTCGATCTTACTTTGTCCTAAAGTGGGGCAAAATGTACATCAGCATAAGTCGGAATACCGAAAGACCCAGTTTGTCTGAGACGGCTGAATGTCGTTGAAAATGTTTCATTTGCTGGTAGTCTGCGATAAGGAAATCTTACTGCATATTCACGGCGAGCCGCCGTGGCATTTCTATCACAAAAACCATATACAAAGACCATATCAGCATATTCATCGTTCGAAAATATGGACGGCATTATTAAACTTATTTTTATTATTAGTTTGAACGCTTTATCTAATGGATAATTTATGCAACAATTAGCCTACTCGAAAATGTTTGTTGAGGATCATTTTAAAGTTTATCGACAGAATCCAGAAGCAGCCTTCTGAAAAATCAATTTTGCCAAGAAACTATATGAGTTAGGAAAAAATTGAATGTACACTCTGACAATAACAAACTGTTCTATCTAAAACCAGCATCATTTTTTATTTTCAGTAGTCTGAGTCCCCATAACTCCGCCACTGGTTGCTTGCGGGACTTCTACTTCTGTGAAAAAATGGTATCTTATAAGAAGATGTGTCATGCCAAATTTGGCAAAAGGCAAAATTGAAGTCTTCTCTCAAAATGGTGTGGTAAAAGCTCCTGAATAGACGTCGCATGTTAAGGATGAAGGAGCTGCTGTCTTATGATGCGATTAATTGTATTTTTTGGTACCCCAAATTCTACTGTCAGACGGCGAGTACTGATATTTGGAGCTTCAGCGACCTTATTTAAAACTTCTCCCTCAACGGATGCATTTCGTACTTGAGGACGACCCACACGGTCAACGGCTCGAACACCAAATTGCCCAGTCCCCCGAAAACTCTTTTCAATCCATGTAAATCGGTAACCTGGAACCCATCGATTTGGGTATCGTGCCACGTAGACGCGTACACTCCCACCCAAGACTTTGATCAATCGGTCATCTCTTCATTAGAAAACGCCATTTGAAACGAATTGATTGACAATTCATTTATTATAAAATGGGATCATCGCTTACTACGATAGTAGTATTTGTAGTGAGTAGTTGTTGTATTTGAGTAGTAGTGATAATGATTGTATAAAATTGAAAAAAAAAAATTTTGTGTAAAAACTATGAATGCTACAAGATTTTACCAAGAGCACGAAAATTTCGAAAAAGGACTGATGCATCAGTATAAATAAAATGAATTAATTCCAGTGACCAAATAAAAAGTTCTGGTAATTCATGTACCAAGACACTCAAGAATTTACCACTTGCCCAAGGCAGATGGACGCGGTTGCTTCATCAAAACATGAGTTTTACTTAGGAACAAGTCCACAGCAAGTTTCATGTATGTTTCAAAAAACATAATTTTTTTCAAGAACTTTGACAGTCAATAGCAGAGGAGCCAGACATTTTTCCTTAATGGAAGTTAGGTCAAATCGTCTTCTTTTGAGCCAAAGAATGTCGCAGTACCTATTTGATCAGGTGCTTATGGGACACCCTGTATATTATCTGTGTAAATTTGTACGCACTTTTATACATATAAAATAAGATAAGCTGTATTTGAAATAACAAGGGAGTTTTCCTAAAAATTATCTTTTCTAAAATTATCTAAAAATTATATTTCTCGCCAACGCACTTATACAGGGTGTCCGGTAAGTACCTCCTAATCTCTCGGGAGTGTATAGGGGAGGTCAAAATAAAACTAGTCCTTTCTATAATTTTTTTTCCTAATGTGCCCCCTAACGGAGTTATGGGGGGTCAAAGGGGTACCTAGAAATTAACGTTTAGGGTTATAACTTTGAAACCACCCTGTATATTTTAATAAAATTTTCGTACGTTGTATTACACATGGAGCTCTACGATTTGATGCTAAAATCAACTTTTTGCTATTATCAGGTGTCCAGAAACGGACTGGCCCTATCACAATTTTTCTCAAAATTTTGACAGAAGTAATTTTATCAAACTGAAAATATTATTATTAGATACTCTGAAGGTTTTTCTTTAAAAATGGTACTCTTTATTTATTTCGAAAAAATGAACGGTTTGCGAGATAAATCGGTTTTGAAAAAAATTGGTAACAAAAACAACAATTAAAATTTATTTTTTTTACATATTATTTCATGCATTTAATTTCTTTAACTTTATCAAGTCCAGAAATCTTTGAACGGGTTGGCTATACTTTATGAGCAAGTAGTGACCAATTAAAAATAACATTTGAAAAATAACTTACTTACAAGACATGCAACAAAGAACATTCAACAATGAACAAAGGTACCTAAATGTTACTTCGGTAGATGTTCAAAATGAGCACCCCGTACTTCAATGCACTTTCTAATCCTACGAATGTTTTCCCGGTGCACTTGAAATAATATTCCGTGATTATTGCGGAGATGGTCACAGTTCTGTGTTAGCCTCAGCAGAAGTTCCTCTCTACTATTTACGGGTGTTGAATAAACGTTATTTTTTAAATGACCCCACAGAAAAAAGTCTAATGGGTTTAGGTCGGGCGACCTAGGTGGCCATAATACAGGTCCGCCTCGACCTATCCATCGATCACCAAAAACATTCGTCAGATGTTGACGTACTAAACGATCAAAGTGGGGTGGTGCACCGTCATGCATGTACCACATTTCAGTTCTTATTTGAAGGGGCACTTCTTCTAACAAAATATTTAGATTTTCCTCTAAAAATTGCAAATAAAGAGCACCATTAAGTCTTTGCTCCAGAATAAATGGACCAATCAAATGATTCCCGATAATGCCAGCCCACACATTCACCATAAACCTTTGTTGGTAGCGAGTTTGAACTAAAGCGTGAGGGTTTTCTTCATCCCAGACATGTAGATTATGCGAATTAATTATGCCGTCTCTTGTAAAACCTGCTTCATCGGTGAACAAAATAGATGTACCAAAATTATGATTCCGAATATGATGCTGTAAAAACCAATTGGCGTATTGAAGTCTTTTTGGATAATCATCTGGAGACATAGCATGTACTTTTTGGATGTGGTACGGGTAAAGCAATTGTTCTTTCAGAGTTTCAT